TGGGGAGTATTCCTGGTTATGGGTGTAACTCAGCACTAACTGTCTCTTATACACATCTAGATGTGTATAAGAGACAGATTTAAGGAGACGCATCTAGACAGCAAAATTGTTTTTTCTAAATTTGCGGAATTGCGCCCAAGGCAGTGTGTACTAGCAGGAGCAAGTGGTACGCATTCAGTTTGTGTATGTACAATCCATCAAAATGTAAAACTCATGTTCACAGGAGAAAAATTATATGAAGTAACTGGTGGAGAATTTAAACATTATCGTCACTGTCTTGCAGCTATGATGTGCAATCCTCCACACATCAATTGCTTTCTTAGCAAGTGTAATGCATGTCCAGACATTAGTAATATTCGTAAAAAACTTGAAAAGTATATGGAAGACAACATGATTGACCAGATCGAATATAAACAGTGGACTTCAACTGACTGCTCAAATCTTGAGTCCAAAGTTCAAACTGTTTCAGACTTTCTTGACTCATTTGTAAGTGGTCTTCAAAAATTATTACCTCATGATTTCATTGCAAAGCAACAAGCGGGTTTACCTCCAAGATCTAAGGAGTACACTTGAACCAGGAATAGTCTTGGTCATTGCAGATTTTGCTGAAAATTACAGCTTTGTAGTACAGGACACTTCTCAGTCTTTTCATTGAAACAATCTGCAAGCAACACTTCATCCCTTTGTATGTTACTACCGGGGAAACATGCAAGATGAAATTGACCATACAAGTTTTGTAATTATATCAGAATGTAACACACATGATACTGTGGCAGTTCACCTTTTTCAAAAATTGCTCATACAGTTTTTAACAGACACACTTGGACATGTTAAGAAAATATGCTATTTTTCTGACGGCTGTGCTGCACAGTATAAAAATAGAAAAAACTTTTTAAATTTGTGCCTCCATGAAGAAGACTTTGGTGTTCAAGCTGAATGGCACTTCTCTGCCACCTCGCATGGAAAGGGACCATCTGATGGTGTTGGGGGGACAATAAAGCGGTTAGCAGCCAGAGCAAGTTTACAACGCCCATTTGATCAACAGATTATCACTGCTCGCCAACTTTTTGAATTTGCAGATTCAGAGATTGACAAAATACATTGCCAGTTTGCCACAACAGAGCAATATCGGCAACAAGCAGAATTCCTGAAAGATTTGAAAATGCTCGCACAATTCCAGGTACACGGAATTTGCATTCTTTTATTCCAGTCTCCAAAGAAGCGGTTACAGTTCGATCCTTTTCATCTGCAGACGAGAAAAGACAGGAACTAGTAACTCTTACTGCAGATACCACAGTTCTGAGTGGTTTGGTCTTAAGTGGATATGTTACAGCAGCTTATGATAACCATTGGTGGGTAGCGTGCATCAAGGAATATTACACAGATTGGCATGAGGTTGATATTACATTCCTACACCCACATGGACTGTCGCCATCTTTCGTATTTCCAGAACCACCAGATTCTTTAACCATTGATCATCAAGATATACTAACAGCTGTTCACCCAACTACAGTGACTGGAAGAACATATTTAATCTCAAAAAAAGAAACAAAGGCTGCCCATGCTGCATTTACCAAAAAAATTAAGGTTTAGAACTG